GATGTTTTGTCCCTCTATGGTGATGTTGCCATCGACACTGTCCTGCTTCCTGCCAATAAGTATGGCCTGACTCTTCTCTGCATTTATCTTCAGCTTCCACATGATGAACCACTGATGTAGTTTGTCAATTGCAAGCTGTAGCTGCTGCCTGATGCAGTCCTTGCGACATGAGGATGTCAGAAGGGCCGTATCATCTGCAAAGAGTGCCAGGGTCGTATTAGCAGGTCTTGGGATGTCGCTTGTGTATATATTGTATAGCAGGGGGGAGAGCACTGCTCCTTGCGGTACTCCTGCCTCCGTGCTTCTGGTTTCTGACCGGTGACCTCCAACTTTGACGCTGAAGCCCCTTCTGCAAATATAACTGTCTATTAACTGGCACAGTTTCTTGTTAATACCTATTTTTATCATCTTATAGATGAGACCGTCTCTCCACACTCTGTCGAACGCTCTTTCGACATCCAGTGCGCACATTTTACTACTTTGTAGAAACTTTTCAAAAATATTTTTTCACCTGAAGCCCATTTTGGTAGCATGCTGCCATCTATCCTCTCATTTGACAAGTTGCGGCAAAGTAGTAAGTAAAACCAGAGATAGTAGTCTACTAATCTCTGGCAAAATTCGGTTATTTTAGTCTTATTTTATCCAAATTAAGTTATTTAAATCAAATATTTTTATGAAATCAAATATCTTGTTTGTTCTTTGTTCAAAAGCACTTTTGAAAACCGCTTAAAAAATTCGAAAAACAGAAATTTAAATACATTAAATTATCTACCGTTTTATATTTAAATCTATCGTTTTTCCTTGATCCATTCTATATAAGCTTTGTTCTATGATTCTACCGCTTTCGAAGTTCTTGGTCGGGCACACAGAACACCTGAACTGGTGGAGCAACGCTGCGTGTCAATCTTCGAGGTTATATTTCTGACGTTTCCACACTGTGGGAAAAATTTTGCAAATGTCCGCTAAAAAGTGTACTTAAAGCAGCACGGTGGCAATGAAAATCTCATCAGAAAAATGCGCGAGTTTGGAAGACAGCCCTGAGGAGGGCGAAATTTTTTCGGACGATTTGGAAGACATTTCGGATGTGTCTTTAAGTTTACCGACCCACAAATCTGGTAAGTTCCATTATCATAGCGATAACTTACACGATTTATCTTTAAGCAGCGTGTCAGACTTCGAAGAGACTACTTTGAAAGTGAAAAATCAAAGAAAACGCAAAAAATGCTTCTCTCATAAGGTGGATCGTCAAAAAAAGCATCGCAAGAAACCCCCTGATTCGAATAGTAGTGATAATGATTCCTTGGAGGCATGTAGGCTCAAGCTTCAGCTAAAGGCAACTGTACAACTAGACTCTAAAGATGTCATATCTAGAAATAGCCTGAAAACTCGACTCAGAGCAATGGTAAACAACACTGGCCGTGACTCAGATGCGACCGACAATAATTTATCACCGAACATTATGACTGTGAATTCCACTCCAGACCCTTCGATCACCTTAATAGATTTAATGGCACATGATACGAGCAGCGCTGAAAGTATTCAAGAGAATATTGACAACAACTTAAATTCATCTAAGGATGACCTAGATAATGAGCTGATACAACTTAGGCTGGAAGCACTAAAAACAGCAATACAAAATAAATATCCTAATGGTGCTAAATCCAGAAAGGCTAGAAACAATGAAGGTAGTAAGGAAAATATTAGTAATAACTGTGAAACACACAACGACACTCTAGGAAATATACCTCACGTATCGCATGATGCAAACAGTAATTTAGAACACAAGTCAACCAATCCTCCAGAAGAAGATGAGGATGTTGATGTCTTAAGGGCGCTATTACTTGCTTCAATGTCCAGAAAAATTAGCGAAATTGAATGCGCACTACCCACATCATCTTATCCAATGACTCAACAAAAAATAAACACAATTTCAAATGGCATAGAAAACAACAGATACAAAAGAACTAACAATGTTAGAGCCATCGTGAGAAGAAGTATTTCGCAGGAGAAGGTTGCCTTAAAACCTTTAGTTACGACTACAGTAAAACCCCTGATAATATGCGTAAATTCTAACTCCGATTCGGATTCAGACTGGGAACTGAGTTCTGGCAGCCCTGGTAAATCACCAAAAAAAGTCGAAAATGTACCTGAAGTCCATGCTGTGATATCAAGTACTGAAGTGGATTCGACGGTTAATAAAACCGAAACCACTTTTGAAAATACAATAGAACGGTTTTTAAAGGAGGAAAGAGCGAAAGTGGAACATTTAAAAGCCACTGAACCTGTTCCAAGTAAAAAGACTGCTGAAATCCCAAACAAAAATGCAGTGGCCGCCGCTTCATCCAATACAACAGCAACTGCTCCAAAGCCTAAACCCAAACTTGCGGTTACAGCTCCATCTAAAACTAAAATTACTGCGACTTCGCGACAAATTGAAAAAATTTCCTTCAATAACAAGGTTCTTGGCACATCAAAACTGGATAAATCGGTCTTGAATTTCTTACCAGCAACGAAGAGAGAGGAATACCGAAAGTTGCAGGATTTACTTCGGCAAAAAAATGCCCAAAGACGTAAACATCTAACAGAGAAATTGGAAAACAAATCAAAATTTAGCGCACCTCAAGTACCTAAAACTGTAATTAAACAGCTTCAAATTCAAACCACAGCGGTCAAGATCGACGACAAAAATCAGCAAAGTTGTGCCGTAGTTCCCGAGTTAAACAACGTGAAAAATGTGGAAACAAAAGACTGTGTTCAGCCCGTTTCTCCCATAAAAACCGAAACTAAACGAGAAATTAGAGATCAGTCAACACAGACTGAAGAATTTGGGGGTGTACAACTGTCCCCGAAAACGGAAGCACGCCTCAACGAATTCAGATCTCAAGAATTAACCGCTGCGGAGAGGAGCAAAGAAAAAAGACGGCAGACTCAGCATATGAGGAATATTTTGAAGCAGCTGCAGGTCCAAAGTAATGGAAGGTACTGTTGATTTTCTTTTGTTTTTAAACATTATCAAATTATGATTAGATGCAATCGCATAATGTCTTGTATTAAGTACATAGTTTAAGTGATTTTGTTGTTTTCAACTGGGCGAATTTTTTTAACGAATAAATTTAATACCTTCAAAATTTACTTGAAATTTGAATAATCGGCAAGAATTTTGCTGTCTTGTCGGTGATTATTAAGAATGTTAATGTAAAAAGTTGAAATAAAAATGTATTCTATTTAAAAATCCCACTGTACACGTATGCTGACTAATAATATTTCGAATGCTTAAATTTTGAGGAAAAAATCAGCATGCAACAACTGTTACTGACAGAGCGAAATCCCAACGCCTTAAATTTTCCATATAAAAAGATTACAGATGGGAGACAAATACAAATGTCTGCGGCCATTGATAAAAAATCTGAACGGCGTAATTAAAGAGCAGAAGGATTGCGAACTGGAAGTCGAAAAATTAATTAATCAGGTGACAGAAGTTAGAAAAAAGCAGGAGCTTTTACACAACAATCTGTTGGACTCCATCAAACAACTTGAAGAGAAGAAAACTAACATTGATTTAAGGTGGGTTGATCTGGGGTATCAATTCTCATGAAGGACAGTCATATTTGGAATTGATTTCAGTATGTCCAACCATTCCCGCTTGGAACTCATTGGCTCCTCGTCTAACGAACTTCAATCAACAAATAATGCAAATATCTGTTGTAACATCATATCAAGTTTGCAGCAGGATATTTCCGGATCGATTGAGGACAACAATTCACAAAATAGCTTAGTCGGTGATCTGAAATGTGCGGATAATCAAGACAGTATTATTGATCCAAATGATATTGATCAAATTATCAAGAAAACTCAAAAGCAAATCGCACGGAATGAATGTTCGGAACAGTTTGAGCGCCGAACGCCACAGAGAAATAAATACATATCTCCATTGGATTGCATGTCCAGGTCAGTAGAAAATCTGTTCGATAATTGGTTCTGAAATATTAAACAGAGAGAATGTGTGGGTTGGAACAAATTCGAGGGTTTGTTTTTTTGGAAAAGACGGCAAGTCGCAGTGTTTTGTTTGATAAATTAAATTTTACATAATATAAGTTTTTTGTGTCTCGTTTTTGAATTATGCTGCATTATAATTAACGTGGACCATGAATCTTGAAGGGGTCAATTTAATAAAAAAATACAGCAGAAATCAAAACACATGTACAAATTGTTGACCGTTTACCATGCAATTCTGTTTTCCGATTACTATTTTTTATTGTTGGCACCATTTGGCTCATTACTATACTATTTAAAATAGGTTCAATGAGCCCCGGTAAATAGGCTAATTTTTAAGTAAGCAACACCTGAAAATAGTTCACAATTCCCGAAAAAGTAAAAGTTGGGTCTCAAGTTCTAGATTATTTTCGTTAGAACGCTTTCGGCGCTTTACTTTGGAAATTATATAAAATTACTGGCTAAAATCTATATCTCACACTATTCGCGAATAATTCGACAGAGAATGTTTTCCCAAATAGGTGTATCAAAAGGAAAAGTTTCATCACATCTACGCATGCAAATTTAAACTCCTTAGATTTTCGTTTTCGCGCCGTATGTATGGACAGCATGTTTTAAGTAGAAAGTAAACTGAAGTTAAATGTAGTGGTTGTATGTATTCGATGCAAAGCTAAACAAACCAAAAAAAGCGATTTCTCTACGTGAATTTTATAGGTGAAATATAAGACAAACGATAACAGGAGTTATGTTAGCAACAGAAGTGTTGCAAAAATTTTAAGTTCTACTTTTCTATTGTTAGAATCTTAATAGCTAACAATTTTAACTTTTATATTGGTATGCTATTTTTGTTTGTTTCCATTTTAATCAATCGGCCATTTCCAGATTTTTCCGCAAACAAACTCCTAATATTTAAATAAATATGTCTTGACCCGTCCTAACTCTGTGTGTGCTTACAAATTCAGCCTTGTTAAATGGCTTATTTTTTCTTTTAGACGTAATTGCATGTTATTGTATAACGCAATTTGACGTTCAGATTTTAGTAAATTCTCTGCATTTTCCAGTTCAAATAACATGTATCTTACAAAACAAACAAACACTGTGCAAAACACTCTTACGAGTAACTGTAAAAAAATCACAATCGTTTTGGTTCGTTTTATTACTTGCTTTCTGCGGCTTTTTTATATTAGGCCGCGTCGATGTTCTCAGCAATTCTCACCTGGTCATAAAAGTAGCTCGAGTCATAGCTTGGTGTCGCTCAAAAACGTGTTACGTTTATGTCCAAAAATCAATGTGCGTCGGAATATATAAATATTCTACTTTTACAGGCTCAAGATCATCATGTCGTAGAAGAAATGAATTAATTGTGTTTGATGAATTGCTTCAAAATATCTGGGGTTTTTACTTTCGACCAAACAAATAACATTCTACGAATTGTTAATGAGCCGTTAACATTTTTTCAATTCTAGGCAAGATGATCTAGATCCTTTCGGAATCATATGCCCTTTCGAAGTAAATGGAACCTGTAAAGACCCGGAATGTTCATTTAATCATCTTCCCAAATGAACTGAAGCACTTTTCCAAAAATCTAATATGTGATAATTTATAAGGTAGAAGGTTATAATTGAAAATACAATTTTCGTATTGAGTTTGGATATTTAATGATCTCCGGACAGTATTCGTTCTATTTTTACTTATTCATAGAAGTAATTTTTGCTATTGCAAGTTTACACTTAGCTGATCGTTAAAAATAAATTTATTATAGTGGATCGAGTAGTTTTTATTTATTTTAAACACTTTACTCAGTTTAAGAAGTTTTAAATTAAAAAATCAACGCAACATTTTATAAAGAGCATAAAGCTAATTTTCAGGAACTTGTCTGATAGAGCGCAACAACATTGTCGCATACATTATTAAATTAATAATGAGATGGAAAGGTGAAGGAAAAAATATCCAAACTCAACTATTTATAGCCACAATTTGCACTGGTTAATTTGATTATTATTTATTATATATGTGTACTTTTGTACGTTCTTTTCTATGTACAAATAGTTTTGCCATTGTCACGTTTATACTTTTCATGTTGCCAATGCGTTCACTTTGTGACAAACCAAACTAGCTCATTTCAGTTATGTACTTTGTATGCAGCGTGAGACCTAATTGGGTGTACACACTTGCAGTAGATTGTACCTTCAAAAATTTTGTTGGTTTGGTAACGAAAGTCCGAAAATATTGGGTGTTTAAAATTCATTAAAAAAATCAGATTAATTAATATATCCTATAAAAATTAAGGGGCTTTGGAACATTTACTTTAGTGTTCCGTTTATTTCAGTTGCAGTTTAATTGTTTAATACTAAATAATAATTTATTAGTAAAATTATTGTTTACACATGAATTATCTGTCAATGTTTATATATGTTGCCGGCAATGTGCAAAATGCCTAGGCATTCTACAAACTGACCAACTCGCCAGGCATTTCGCAGAATCGCTACTTTGGGCAATCTGCACATTGACTACGGTATCTTCGTCAATCTGTAGATTGCAAGTAGATTGATCTGTAGTCAATGTGCAGATTGCTCAAAGTAGCAGCGATTCTGAAAAACAACTGGAGAGTTGGTCAGTTTGCAGAATACCTAGGCATTTTGCACATTGCCGGTAACATATACATATTGATAAATTTCAAATCGTTCAATAAATCTTTAACACCCTGTTTCCGGACCTTGTTTCATTTATCATATTAACATTATTTTTTATTGTAGAATCCGCTATAACAACTTGAACACCTAATTAAGACTCACCCTGCATCTAACATTTATCATTATATTCTCGTTTGTATATAACTATTTTTGAAAAATGAATAAAGAAACTTATTATAAGGAATGTGTATTATTCCTGTTATTGGTTATAACATTGGTGCCAAATTTTTGCGAATTTGTCATTGATTTTTGAAAATTATTTTTTCTGTAGTCCTAGATGGCCCCAGACAACATTAGAGGAATGAGGGCAATTTTCAATCACCCTGTTATTACTTTAGATGTGTATAAGTTTAAGATTCAAATCTTGAAAGGAACTGTTCTAAATATTCCATGTGCTTTTAGAGAGAAATTGTTTTTGAAATTTATTTCCAATTACTAGGTATGATTAAAATTTTCTACATTAACGCAAGTTATTTAGGGCATACAAATGGGAACTTAAAAAAACCTGTATGGTTGAAAAAAATCCATAAACTATGAATGTAAGGTAGAGAACGACTCAAATATGAATAGACAGTGGTAAAGTGCGATTTTATTATTATCACCATCTCGACGCATTAAATACAATTGATTTTTGTGACATTTCTGGCCCTTAGCCGATTAAATACTTTCACCTAGTTAAACAATAATAACACATATCGAGAAAAGAAATAAAGAAAACGCTACACTCTCCAATTCATGAGCCGTCAATAAGCTCCGGGCCATTGATGGTCTTTATCTGTAAGCGGTACATAAACGACTCCCATTAGAACTTTCCTAGTTATGGATCCATCTGCTAATTTGTCTATTTGCTCCAATTGTTGATCACCCCCTTCCGGTCCTACGGGCACTATTAGGCGGCCACCAACCTATCGAGTAATACAATCAAATGGAGGCACTTTAAATTAAAAGCCCTTCCACACCTTCAATTGGTCGATTAAAGCTTGTGGTAAATTGGAAGCGGCAGCGCCAACATGAATGGCATCATAAGGAGCCATTTGTTCATGTCCGAGCCTACCGTCGCCGGTGATGAATTGAACTTGACCAGAACTCAACAGATCCGAATCCTCTTTCGAGACATTTTGCTTTGCGAGTTCTATCAGTTCGGGCATATGATCAATGCCAACAGCTACTCTGTAGAAATGATAGTTGGATTAAGCATTCAAAAATATCTAGTTGCATGCGTGGCGCGGAAATTTTTGTCGCAAATACCTGGGTTACATACCCTTTAGAACCCATGACTTTGGCCATACAGGCCGTTAAATAACCACTTCCGGAACCAACATCCAATGCTCGAGTACCATTTACAAGTTGATCTTTCAGTAGTTCTAAGGCGTGCGCGTGCATGTGAGGAGCGCTAATGGTGACCCCATAACCGATGGACTGAGGCGCATCCATAAAAGGATGGTGTTTTGAGTAGTTGCTTCGATCTATCGAAAGCATCGCTTGTTCAATAATATCCGATTTAATAATGCCATTTCCTAAAAGAGCAACGCTTCCAATAAGAACCTTGGGAAAAGTTTTAGTGCATTATTGTACCTCTCAGGTTTCGCACCATTTCGACGTTGCTTCGTCCATGGGATCTCCACGCCATATACTTAATATCAACAACAATTCTACAACAAATTAAAGCATTTATTGATATTCACTGTGTTCCATATAAGACGAGCCGGCATGTATCTATTTACTTAAATAAAACGAAGTTGAAACGGTTGATATGAATATGTGGTTGGACGTTATGTAAAAAAGAATATTTTCAAATTTTAATATTACGAGGGTATTGATTTGCTATTTAATTTCAGCCCGGTCGTAGACTTCAGCGAAGTTTTTAGGTAGGGTGTTCGGTAAACGAGGCAACGACGACTTTCAGAAGGCAGTTTCTTATTCTGAAACATTTATTTCGATCTAAAGTTGTAAAGAAATGATTAAAAAACAAAAAAATACAGGCTTTTAACCATGGGACACTTCATTTCAGTGAAAGTGTAGAAAATGGGACACCCCGTAGATTGTTTGTAATTGCCAGTTTTATTCAATATTTTTTGCAATACTGGGGACATGTCATGAGGGGAGATAAATAGCAGTTACAGCAACTTATTATCCAGGAGAAAATAACGGGCAAAAGATCCATAGAAAGAAGACGGAATTTACGGTTGAAGAACTTAAGAGAATGATACAATTGCAACAACCTATTCATAGGAATATATCGACGTTTCAGTAATGTATGCTACTTACTATATGACCTATATTTGCAACTACATATAATTCAACTAATTGTGGCAATGAAATATATAACGTAAATTAACGCGAAATGTTCATACTATCAAGGGTCAGGCTATATGTTGAATGTTAAGGGTTTTTTTTATGAATAAATCGTATACATTCTACACTGCACCCAAATCCTCAAGTAGAATCATAAATTGCTAATACTTCGATTTCTTCTAGATGGACCTACCTTGAGGACACGAGAGTAGTTTTATGTGGATAAAGCTGGCAATTTAAACGGGATAAAATTTAAATTAAATTTTTGAAATTTCTAAGTTTTGACAGTTTTGTTCCCAAATTGTGAGGTTACATCTGTGGCACAGACTACATACTATTGACATGATCTGTGGAATCTGCAATTCTAGAATTTGACAAACACAGAACACCACTGACGAAGAACGTTGACGAAAACGTTGGTCCTCACGCAGGTTACGTCACTCATGAGGGAGACTAACATTTTTTTTATACTGTGAAGGGATTTAGAAAATGTACATGTAACTTACATACATGTTCAGTAGGTATTTAGATTAGTTATACTACTATTATTTTGATGAGAAAGCAGGAAATTCGGAGGGTACTAAAACATTGAAGCAAGTATAAAAAATATGCTTACAAAGAAAAAATCTTGAGACACTTGAAGGATAATTAGTAATCATAATCACTGATGCAGTTCGCTGAATTCTTGATATTGATGGAAAATTTTTAAACAAGTTAGGATTTTCAAAATAGACAGTATTAAATTCATAGAATTATAGAATTGGGTCTCATTATCTTATTTGTCGCCTATACATATGGCATCACCATTAAGAAGAAACTACACGTGGTCAATATTGGAGAAGAGTGAGAAGTCAGAACCACAGATCACAGAGTCTGTGTGTCTAACCTCTGCGATCTGTGGTGAGAATTTGTCTTTTCTGTGGTCAAAGCTCTGACAAGTGCTGACAATTTCCTGGACAACCAATAAATATGCCCAAAAATAGTAAAAAATTATGCTTGTGAAGAAACCAAAACCTCAGGTGCGAAAGTGGATTAGACGAACTGCTGCCATCGCATTTGTTGCCGAAGCCGTCGCTTTTGCATTTACATATTACGGTTGGACGAAAGTTAACCAAGACCGAGGTGAGCCACACTTTTCTTTCTACAGCCTATTTTTGGAAACTAACTAAGAATCTGGGGCTTTTTATTGGTGGTTTGAGTTAATTTACAGAAAAATGCCAATATATTGTGGTAATAAAAGCGTGGTTACGTATGAGCATGTTAATGGGTGCAATATATGATGGATGTTTAAATAAGGAAAACATAATTTTTCCGCATTCCAGAGACAAGAAAATATCTCCGAGACAGCTACCCGTCTGTATTAGAAGCGTACTACAAGACTGGTGAATTAATTAGTTCGAATTGTAAAGTTAGAGAAATTGATCAAGCTTATTGGGATGCCCAACAGGTAACAATCTAGCAAATCAACAAGCCAAAGATGAATAATTCAATTAACCTCTTTCAGCATTAATGGAACCGAATAGACTGATCAAGTCAATATTTTGGCTGACATCTTTAACAGGGGCTGGATATCTTTTGCTGATAGCAACTACAGCTAGTCAGGATTCGAGCAAATTAAAGGTGAGCCCCACAAGTTCCAATAATTCCGCTCAAATCAGACAATGTGTTTAACATTTTAGGACTATCCAGGAATAGAGCGCGATCAAAAAGTCGTTTTGAGCCAAAAGCAACGACTCTTGAACGTGTTACAAGCAGCCACTGAGGCCGATAAGCCCCTATATCGAATGACAAAAGAGGAGATACAGAAAACTCTTAACAAAAAATAGCAATCATAATTTAGTACTCAGGAAGCTGTAGTCGTAACGTAGCTTTTTGTACAAAAATTTAAAAATGGAACTAATAAGTGAGGGAGCCGACCGGATTAGTGCGATGAAGAACCGCGAAGTAGAACGCCAGATGAATATTCAAAGAAAGCAGGAATCGAAGAAATCTATAAGTGCTGCCAATGAGCAGCTGGATTTCTTCGAGAAGACGTTTAATGAGAAAATCAGTTTCATTGAGGCCATGTTGAAGAAGTCACAAACTCTTTCCAAAAATGAACTTCCAGAACATTTCAATATAATTTCCAAGGAAATATTGGTTGTTCAGAAATATGTTGCTGCTTCGAATTTATTTCTTTGCAATTACTACTTGCAAAAATGCCAAAGCACGCTTCAAGCGTTGAGCATTAGAGCAAAGGAGCTGGAGAACAATCTTTTGCCGAAAAAGAAATTTGGATTCAAGAACAAAATCAAGCTGAAGGACGAGGAAAAGAGCCAGGGGGTGGATTTGGTAGATTTCAGCAACAAGCCACAAAACGGTAGTTTGTCGTCCAGCAAAGTACACGACAATAACATAGAATGTGGTTTTTACGACAGCGCAAATAAAGTTCTATCTCTTTGTCCAGACCAAGTGGCGAAAAAGGATGTGTCTCTGGAAAAACTCTCGAACTGCACGGTTTACCTTAAAGGATTCCCAAGCACTTTGCATTTAAACAACCTCGACAACTGCAGAATATTCTCGGGCCCAGTTTCCACCTCAATATTTGCTGAAAATTGCAACAACTCAACACTAGTAATAGCCTGCCAACAATTAAGACTGCACTCTTCTCAAAACATTGAGATCTATCTACATGTTACAAGTAGGGCGATAATGGAAGATTGCAGCAAAGTAGCGGTTGCTCCTTACAACTGGAGATATGAAAACATCGATCAACACTTCTTAGATGCCGGCCTGGATAAGCAAGTGAACAACTGGAGATGCATAGACGATTTTAATTGGCTGAATGCTGAAAGGCACTCGCCCAATTGGCGTGAAATGGAGCAGGAGAAGAGAGTGATAGATTGGAATCAGTGAGACATGTTTTTAGTGTATTGCAACGCTTTTATAATTTGGCTTTATTAGATATCCAATAAAAATGTATATTAATGGTTCATTTCGCAGATTTTCTTTCCGAATTAAAAGCGCTAACATGTGCAAAATCAAGACTAAAACGAGTTGAATCTAGTTCAATTATCCACTTGACCAAATAACAACATTCGATTCTAGACTGTTCAATCAATCTCAAATCCGCCGTTCAATGTATTTCGTTAATTGAAAATTAATTTAATCCAATTTAGGCGTGTTACATTTATATAAGCGTCAGTTTATTTGCTATGTACCTAACTGATAATTTTTATCAGGGGCAAAGTATGTGTATGGTAGATGGAAAATGTTCAAACGAATTAACTTTTGTGTAATCAAGTTAGTTTCTGTGGACAAATTCGAAATGGTACTCATGTGATATCGCTGATCTCGGCCATCCTTGTTTTCAAATTCAGATTATAATCCTTCTCTGTTCGGCATTGTAGCGAATGCGAAAAAAAGGTACAATATAGATTCAACCGAGCGCAAATGCAGCGAACCACCGAAGGAGAAAGCCGTACCGCAACAGTGACAATTTTAATCATGTGGTTTGCTATCCAATAACTGGGCGCCCAAAAATAGCAGTAGATACTGTAGGTAGTGTTTTAAAAAGTGCTTCTGATTTAGAAAGGTGAGTAAATTTTATCTGAATTTGATTAATTGCCGGTGGAAAACTGAAAAGTTCCGTACCAATAATCGTACGAGAGGCTTGGAAAAATCCGCGTGCTACATTGATTGATTTTCCAATTATAATATATGTATATGAGTACAAATTAGGTTGAATGAAAATAAATTTAAAAAGTTGCTGTGTATTATTGACTTATAGGTCGGAGATAAAGGTTTATTTACCCCATAGTTATCTGATGGGCAGTAAACAACATGTTTGCGCGTTTTTTATTTATCTAAAATATTATAGTCATGCAAATGCATCCATATAAACAGTTAGTTAAAAATATTGGTGGAAAGTATGAAAAAGGCAAGCTAAGACTTAAAAAATAAAGTATATGAATTATCGGATTACTGCTATTTACATTTCAGTTACTTTGCGTTCGTAAATGATCCTTAGTTGATTTATACTTGAGATTTATGGTGATTTGCTTGAAAATCTAATTTTCTTGGAAATTGTAAGATTTAGTCACGCTAAAAAATTAGTAAAATGTTCAGTTTATAACTAGTTAAATAGTTGTTTAATTTAATTTGGTTTTTATAGGTATTTGTTAGATTTTCTTAACATACTGTATAATTTATTCTCAATTGAGTTAAGAACAAACTTTTGCTATTCCATATTTTAACAGCAATTTTACGATAAAGAAACAGGTTGAATTTGGAATTTACAACGCACAAGAAAAATGTTTTCGCTTATTTCTTAAGCAGAATTTAATATACCGTTATCTACTGGAAGCTTCAACAATTCGGAATTTCATCAAAATAGAATAAAAGTAACAGATATTTTATTGAAACTAAAAAAAAAATTATTTCACATTTAATTTATTGCTTCTATTAAGAAATAAAAGAGTTCGTACCTAAATCACTATTTTTTATTGCAGGAATTTTAAAATAATTTTACTAATATTTGAAAAACGCTGAGTTGAGTCGGATTTCTTAAAAGAATCAAATGTAGGTACTCATTTTGCGGAAATGGTTGAACAAATTTAAAATAAGAAAAAATTGAGCACAGGTTTTTCTTTAGATAAAAACGATTTAAATTCCTGATTAATTTGGAAGAAAAGAGATATGTTCGCTTAATTTATACGGCGTACTTTATTTGAATGAAAAGGTTAAACAAATTTGGATGAAATAAAAATCTATCTAAAATGGCTCGAGAGATCTAGAAATTAATTAAATACAAAATAAGAACTAAAAAAATCATATTTGGGAGAATATGTTGCTTACGAGATGTTTCTTTTTTATGAGGAAAATAATGATTTATTTACATGAGCAATTGAATAACGACTAACTCAGCCAAGAAAAACCAGATGTTATCAGTTGAAAATCAATCGCTGTAGTAAAAAACAAAAGATCAAATTAAACTAGCTTCAATTTTTAACGGTCTATCGATTCTTAAAATGCCTTGAATTATCAAATTAACCACCCTGTAGTAGAAACAATTGGTTGCAATCTATGTTTTCAAACTGAAGTACAAAATGTTCCAAACCCATATAAAAATCACATGAATTGGAACGGTTATGTATCAAAATAAGAATTTCTATTGCACTTTATCTCGCATTAAATCAAATATTTAGCCAATGCCAACAACGAATACATTAGCATCACAATAAGCGTCATTTTTTTCATAAATATGACCTAATAAATAATAAAACCTGATCATTCGTTTAAAAGTGTGTTAAAGTTTACCCGTGTGATTACCATCGGAACGACCTTCCCAAACGGTTATTTGGCAATTTTCAGCGCTTTAAGCACTTTAATACAAAATTTAATTAATCCAGCTACGATCTAATTATGAATCTATTGTTAAGTATGCAAACTTGTGACGACATTCATTTTATTATATACCAGGCGTTTAGTAATTGGAATGTATTTATCACATAATATTCCAGAAGGTTTTTCTAAAGCAAAAAATCGCACATTCCTGAAACGTTCACCTGAATTGTAACTGTAACCTTGATCGTCTGGCTGATGGTTTAAATTTTATGCCACTGACACTAATTTCAAGGAAATGAATGAAATGAAAAATATGCAAAGTGTCCAATGTATAAAAAGTGAAATTGTAGAGTACAAAAACCCAAGAAATAAAAGTCGATAGGCAACAAAAACCTTATAATCAATATCTGGTGAAAACACGACGCTATTTTCGAACGTCAAAGGTTTACCATGTAAATGACAAAATACACTAAGTAGTTAAAGAATCCATAATTACAAATAGAATAAAATGTAGAAGAAAAATGCATAATGTTCTAAAAATGTACCCCAGACTGAAATCAAGTCAAAGGCAAGAATGGTAACTGTTTAAGACGCTTTAAATATAAATATCTACATATGCAATTTTTTTTCATGTATATTAGTATAGTAACGACATGTTTGAATCGAAAAAGATTAAGTGTTAGCAATTTTTATCAATGAATCAATATTTTGTCGTATTTCCTCATTTGCAGCAAATGTCTAGCATTGCTAAGTGACTAGAAAACAGACATATTTTTTTTACGCAAAAACTATGAATGCTACAAGATTTTACAAAGAGCACGAAATTGTGAACAAATGATTAGTGTACCAACCTAAAAAAAAATGACTTGATTTCATCCTCCAACTAAAAAGTTCTGGTAGTTTTTGTACCACGACACTCAAGAATTCACCACTTGTCCAAAACGGCTTAACTCGATTGTTTTATCAAAATATGAGTCTTAAATAAGAACAAATTCACAGCGAGTTTCACTAAAATACGTCGTACCATTCTCCAGATATTTCGAAAAAGATAATTTTTTTGAAGAACTTTGACCATCAATAGCAGAGGAGCCAGACATTTTTTGTTAATAAAAGTTAGGTCATATTGTCTTCTTTTGGTCCAAAGAATATCGCAGTACCCTTTTGATCATGAGCTTACGGGACACCCTGTATAATGATCAAAAAATTATTCAGCAGTAGCTAAAGTCTCAACTGTCCATTATAAAACGCGTATTGAACAATTATCGAAGACATCAATGGCCATTACAAACTGAATATCAATAAGAAAAACAACATCATTGAAATCAATTCGAGCAATCAAGAAGAATTTGAAAGCTTCTATCCGCTTATGCAAGAAATTGGAGATTTAAAAGAAACTTAAAGACGAACAATATTCATAAAATTCGTATAATAAGAAACTCAAAAAATGTGAGAAATATATATACAGAAGTAGTAAGAACAAAGAAAAAACATCAAATCCCAAACTGCCAAAGCAAACAAAAAACAGCCAAGAGAACTTGAAGACTAATAAATGCAAAAGAATAATCAAGAAAGCGACGAATCTCAAAAAGTATTCACCAAAAATATATTGTATGCAACCAAAAAATGAATATAATACAGAACTAGAAAGAATAAAGCAAAGTTAAAAAAAGGATTAGCTTATAAAAAATAAGCTCAGAAGAGAAAGCCAGCAAAGAAATAGCTTGAACCTAAAAAGCAGAAAAAATTATCCCATGGTAAAAAACCAGTAGGATTCAAAAATTTAGAAGAATTACAAACGAAGCGCAACGAAAAGGTGACGAATATATATTACCTTTAAAAATTTAACAATCATAACTAGATGAACGTAAAAACCAAATTTGAGTTGTTTGAAGTGCTCATCTGAAAAATTGACGAAACGAAAATGAAATTTAATTCAAATATTTTCTCTGCAACCAAGCAAAGCGTCTTCCTTTTAGAACACAGAAGACCAAAGAAACCTGAAAAAGAAAAGAACATAAAACTGCTAAATCAGTCAAGATGGTTAGAAACTAGATAGTCTAGAAACTAGAACCAACCGGAAAACTAATATAAAAAGTATTCATAAAATTTCTATAATGACGAACATAAAATTTAAAATGTTAGAAATATATTTTATGCAAATAAGCTTTGAAACGAATATCAAAAATAGAACCAATCCGAACAAAACAACATAAGAATGAAATGATTATAGAAGATATTGAAAACAACTCAATAGCACATTTAATACAAAAACAATACAGAAGTGGCAAGACCAAAAATTAGGAAAATTATCGAAATCCAACCTGCAAAGCAACAATGAAAACAGTCAAAAGAATTTCCAAAAGTAAAATAGAATAATGAATATAAAAAACTAATCAGGAAAGTGAGCATTCCCAAAAGGTGTTCACCAGAAATAGATGGTATGCAACCAAAAAGATTAATATTTTACAGAACCAGGAAGAATAACGCAGATTGGAAAAAACGGTAGGCAAAATCGCAAAACAACGAAAGCAAGTCGGATAGCCGAGGAAGATTTGAAAACTTTCAAACGCTGATGTGAAGAATGAAAAAAATGAATTAAAAATGTAACGAAAGATTGATGAAATTGATATTGTCACCAATTACATACAAAACATTATGTCTGTATTTATCTATATGTAATTGGGCTTTAAAACTTAATATGATACAGATACACAAAAAGTAAAAAATGTTGAAAAAACATTCAAAACTAGTTTTAAATTGTTGTTAGGAGAGTTAAGAAATCCATGGATTTCCAGCTACTATAAAAATGCAAGATACTGAAGAATTAATGATTAAATTTAATACAAAAGAACTCATTAAGATAACAAGAAACGTAAATAAACGACTCAATTTTTAAGAATAGAAATACAAGAAAACTCAGAAAATAAGATAGATGGTGCTAATAAAACATTTGAATATTCAGGTTGAGCTTGAAGAAAAAATGTTTATTAAGGTGCTTAACTCGACAACAAAAACCTAAACTACGAGAAAAGTAACTCGAAACACGATTGCAAAAAAATCATATAAAAGTAACAAATTATTCACCTTAAAATAAATAAAAACTAGGAAGATTCGATTCAAAAAATTATGGAAAAATGTCAACAAAATTACCTGGAATGGAAAGCTTTAAATCATCACGGGAACTTAGGAAAACTCTTCACGTAAAAAACGAATAAAATCACGTTTTGCAAAACCGATTATGTTGGTACACAAATGTATTTTTTGTGTAAATCTATAGGGTGATTTTTCAAACTTTTCAGTTAATTCCCATTATTGCTAATCATGGGCCTCGGCACGAAAATCACTCTAGTATCACTGGCTTCCCTCATAGCCGCTCTGGGAGCATACGTTTATCAAAAGAAGAAAAAGGAAATCATCCCATGGACATGGGAGGAGGTGGGAAAATTGACCAAACTGAACTTGTTCCCGCTGAAAAGTGGACATCGAATTGAGCTGCATAAAGCCGAATGCACCAAGTATGGATTGCGCCAAACTAAGGACGAAGATGCGGTGCAACTCAGAGATAGGTAAGTGTAGAGAGGATGTTCGAAAAAAAGCGTTCTCTAATAGAGTGAAAAATCAAGTTAAGATAAGGCTTGATTAAGCAATATTGAGAAAATTTGCATTTAAAACAGTGAAAAGTATGCATTTTTGATCATTGCATTATAGTAGTAGGTAAACGCAAAATTTTTCGACATCCTCAATTTAAAAAGTTGTTTATGAAAATACATTTTTTACGGTCAGTTCAAATTTTAGGTGTCTAGTTGTATACTCGGAAAAGGACAATGAGTTTCGAACAGCACGCACTTACCCAAAAATGGTCCTAATTGATGTTTCAGTGCACGATGATAAATATTTGGCAGTAGATGTACCTACTATGAGAACGTTGTACGTTCAAATACCCATCAAAGATGAAAACAAAGAGTCCTTTATCAGGTATATTAAAAACAGCAACACAACTGACTGGAACGCAACAAGTCAAAAATATAATATAATTTCCAGATTGCATAAAGGCGAAGAAATTTATGCCATTGACTGTGGAGACGAAGCTGCTTCTTGGTTTTCCAGATACATCTTGGGCAAAGACGTCGGTTTAAGGCTGGGCTTTCACGATGCGAGCAGAAGCAGAAACATCAGCAAAACGCATAAAACCATTCTGGATTATTACACGAATTTGACCAATAGCTCAACAGTGAGTAGGACAAAAGCCAAAATTGTATCCCTTAAAAAATGCCATAAACTTTCAGGGCCTGTATTCGGATCTCACAGCTGTGTTACTCGTGAACCATGCCTCAGTGAGAGACTTGAATGCAAGAATCGGGACTTCTAGCGTCTCTGTGGACAATTTTAGACCCAATGTGGTCGTGGATGGGCCCCAGCTGGAAGCTTACGCCGAAGATGATTGGGATTGGATCAAAATTGGCGACGTTGTGTTAAGGAACGTTAAGGAATGTACCAGGTAATTTTAAAGAAGTTAGTGAGTGGATGGAACGTAAGACAAGCGTAATTTCAGGTGCATAATGACAACGATCGACCCGGAAAATGCGAACCGAAGCTCAGACAGGGAACCCTTGAAAACTCTGGAAACGTAAGTTTTTCATATCTCGACCGCATAATAATTCGAGTTGTAAAAGTTAGTAAGAGTTATTTCTTGTGCACCTTCTGGGTAGAAATGTGTATTATTGACTGCATATACTCTTTTTTAACAAGTCATCATACTTCTTTATCCTGTCTTCTATTTTTTCTTTCAGATATCGTCTCAGCAATGGACCAAGCAGGTTACCCACAATGGGCATTAATTGTGAAGTGAAAGTAGAAGGAATTATTAAGTTAGGAGACCCGGTTTTCATCTCGAAGAGTGTCTTGAGCTCAGCCACTAACGGAACCATCAAACACTAAGTCTTCGTCCTGATCAAACACTAGCAGTTTATACAGGAGTTTAGCTTGCTTTAGAAACTACATAATTTAGGTACATATTTCCAAACCACTATCCACAGTATTAAAATGATCTGCGTTTATTTTTAGCGTTATCTACTGTTAAAATCCCATGTAAATAAGACATATAGATCTAAATAACAGTTGAAATGTACATATGCAGAAAGCTTATTGCAATTAGTGTCGTAGCAAAATAAAAGTTAGAAAAACTGGAAATTTTGGTTTTACTGCTCGCAAAGTCCGCCGCCTATGGACCACATGACCAAAATTATCGTAACTGCGATAGCGTAAATCCGATCGTAAACATTCAAGAAAATTAACTTTAATTTTTAACATTAGTAAAATGAGGCCTGCAGACGTAACACTGCATGTTGCTGTTGGTGTTAGCAGTGTTGTCCTAACGGTTTTAGGTAAGCGCCAGTTGGCAAGTCACTTACCACAAAATCAAAGCCACTTTGATGCAATTTTTTGCTTCATTTAGGAGCAGTGATACTAAAGAAACTACTGGCCAAAGAAAAAATTCCGAAAAAATGGCGAAAAATTGGCACAGTGGAAGACCTAATTATTTATCCAGTAAAGAGCGCAAAGGGAATTAATGCTGACCGCTTATTTGTAACAGAGAAAGGAGTAAAGGAGATTGAGAAACGCGACAATAGCATTGAACTCAGAGACAGGTGAGGTTTAAGAGTGAGTGCAGTAAACAGTAAGTAAATGTGTCCATAAAACAATTAATGGGCAAATTAGGCAAAATTGTAGAGAGTAAATGATCTGAATGTATAATTGTTGGTTAAATTTAAATATTTCTAAATTTTCCATTGATTTTTTTCATTTTATATTAATGCTGGATGGCAAAAATCGACAAGCTAGAGTGGCAGAGTAAATAGAATCAAAAGATGTTTCAAAAGTAGATATAAAATTGAATGCTGCGCGGTTGAAGAGTGCTAGCTTGAGCTTTCAATAAAATAAAATATAAGATTCACATCGATTACTTGATTCGATTGTTTCGATTTTGTCCCAAATTCAAAGGTAAAACGGGTATTCAAAAAAGACGATAAAGAAGACCAAACTGTAAAGACGACGACTTTTCTTGAAAATCCATATTAACTTTTTTGCATAAAAGACTCAGTTTGCCAGTACTTTACAGTAAAACGTTAGGAAAAAACGCGTTGTTCTGTTTTCTGAGAGTTTTGCTTAGAAATATAGACCTAAAAGTGTAGAAACCGGAATTTAAATAAACCAAGTTATTCACATCGACAAAAGTGACGAGTTTTCCCAATAATTGATTATAAACTTTCACTTGTTCTGTTCGGGGAAATATTTTTGGGAAAAAATATAGAAAAAATTATTAGGGTTTTGTCCAAAATTCGAAGCTGCAAAAGGTTCCAGAAAAATGTTTACAAAGCTGTTCAGGAGCGGAGCGAATATTTTTTAAAATAATTTTCACAGGAAATACCTAAAAATTGTCAGCATTTTAAGTAAAACTATAAATAAAACGTTTTTTGCGTAGGAAGAATTGCTTAATAGAAACTGCTAAAACTGGAATGATCTAAAATTTTAAAGAAACTTGAAAAATCTTCAGAGCGCTGAGGGCGGCGGATTTTCCAAATAATTTTTTGGAAACTGTTGCTCTCTGACCGTTTTTTTCAAGATAATGTTAATTCCTTTCGGTGAAAAGCAATCGATGAATGAGGCAAATTTACTAACAAATTTGATTTTGCAATTTTTGGCTGAAAAGACCCCATTATTGTCAGAAAAGAAGAAAATCATTAGAAAATAATACTTTTATGGTCGGTATTTGAGAAAGTCTTAATGATTTTCGGAAAAAAACGAGAGAAATTTATTTTCGCTTTTGTCCCGAATTCTAAGCTGAAAAAAGTATTTGTAAAATCCCTACAAAGCTATAGTTTATCTTGTCGTATCGCGTAAAAGATCTCCAGATCGTCTGTATTTTTAAGTGAAACTACAAAATTGAGGGTTTTTGAGTGGAAAGTAATGCAAAAAAATCAGTCCAAACTAAAAAACTTCATTTTTTAACATGCTCTACAGTCTTCAGAGGAATAAAGGTGACGAGTTTTCCAAATAATTTATTATAAACTGTCGCTGATTCTGTTCGTGTTTTGATAGAAAGTTATTTGATTCTTGTCCCAAATTCGAAGCTAAAAAGGGATTTCGAAACTTTTTTCAATGGGAGGAAGGAGGCAAGTATTCTAATAAAATTTACTTCATAATTTTTCGCGGAAAATACCTGAAGATTATCAGTATTGTTAAGGAAAACTAGAAAATAATGCGTTTTTTGCGTAGAGAATTGCTTAAAAAAACTTTGCTAAAACTGTAATGACCTGAAATTTTAAAGAAACTTATATTTTGTAAACTTTTGCTCTCTGGTCGTTTTCTCAAGATAATCTTAATTACTTGCGGTGAAAAACTGACTAAAGTTATTTGGTTTTTGTACCAAATTTGAAGCCGAAAAGGATTTTCTAAAGTTCTCTGCAAATCGATGAATGAGGTAAATTTTCTAGCAAAGTCAATTTTGTCATTTTTGGCTGCAAAAACCCAATTATTGTCAGAAAAAAGAAAATCATCGGAAAATTAGATTTTTTTGCGTTCTTTTTTTAACTTTTAGTTTTGTGATCGGTTTTTGCCTTAATTAAATTTTAAATTTCGAAAAGCGGGATAAATTTATTTTCGTTTGTGTTTGTCCCAAATTCGACTACGAAAAAAGGTTCTGTAAAATTCCTTCAAAGATATAAATGTATCTTGTAATTTTCCGAGTAAAATACATCCAGATCGTCAATATTTTTAAGTAAAACTCTATAAATAGAGCATTTTTGAGTAGAAAGCAAAGCAAAACTCAGTTAAAACTGAAAAACCACATTTTTTTAACAAACTCTGCAATAGTCAGAGGAATGGAAGTGATGAGTTTTCAAAATAATTTATTATAAACATTCGCTTATTCAGTTCGTTTTTTGGTAGAAAATAATTTTATTTTTGTCACAAATATTCGAAGCTGGAAAGGGATTTCAAACTTTTTGCAGTGACGAAGGAGGCGAGTGTTTTAATAAAAATTATTTTTAAGGTAATTTTTTCAAAAATTGAACATTTAGAAATAAGAGTAACTTTGTTAAAACTGAAAAATTCTGAAATTTTAAAATTAATTTTTTTAAATAAATTTAGAATCAAGTAAAAACAGTTATCAACATTTTCCTAGCAACGGAACTGAGTTACTACGCCGGTGCGTTGGGTTGGCGCACCAAGCCATTTGCGTAGCACTGTGCCAACTCCTAAAAATTAATTGCATTGAGTTACCCAGGCCTACTCCGCTTTATTTATAGAATATCATCTTATACAAATATCTACAAAGTCTTTATAAAAAAAATGAACGGAAGTTTAAGTTATGGTATGACAAAACCCGTGTATTTATAGTTCTTTAAAAATACATTGTGACATAATGATAATAAATAATTTTCTAAATTTAAATGACTGACAAATCAATCACATTTTTCAAAAAACTTCCAGATCTTTCCTAATCTATACCAGCAAAGATAGAGAGGTGCGAACTGCTCGACAACTTCCCAAAAGTGTAACAATTGGAATTCAAGCAGCAGAAAACGGCATAATACTGAGCGCTCCCAATAAAATAGATTTGTATTTAAGTTTGCCCAGAACGAAAAACGACATTAAAGTGTAAGTGACAATAAACGGGAGCACTTTGAACAATTGCATGCGTTTCAAAATCAGAAGAAGCTGCGTTTTTCTAACACTTTCAGCACACTTACATGGGGCAGTACGTTTGGAAATGAGGCATTTTGGTGTACGGATTGTGGCGAAGTTGTAGCGAAATGGTTGAGCGATTATCTGCTCAATAAATCCGAAGGTTTGAGATTGGGATATGGGGATGGTTCCCAAGAGCGTAACGTGCTAAAGGACCACAAAAAATGGGCTGCGCATTATACAAACATGGACAACAGCATGGCGGTACTTAGTATCCAGATTGATGTACACTAATTGAAAAAATTGATTTATTTTAGGGCATATTCAGCGACCTGGCAGCTTTGCACTTAATTAATAAATCAACCATCGACGATCTGAACAGTCGACTTGGCGCAGAACAGAAAGTCTCCATTAAAAACTTCAGACCCAACGTATTTGTCGAAGGTTAGAAAACAACAAATTTTTTTTGTTTGATTTTAATATGTAAATTCTTCCAATAGGACCCGAAGCATTCGATGAAGACAATTGGGAGCATGTGAAAATCGGCGATGTTGTCACAAAAGTGTGTCTCGAGTGCTTGAGGTGCATTCAATCGACTGTATCGGAAAATGGGGAAATGAGCAAAGAGCGTGAACCTTTGAAAACTTTGGAAAAGTAGGATGGGCGTTTTAATGGAAGCTACAGAAATTTTTGTTGTTCTTGTAGGTATCGGAAATCTGACGGACCATTTAAATACGGCAGAATGGGGATTTATCTAAGGGTTCTGAAAATTGGAAAGATTCGCAAAGGGGATGCCATTTATGTACCAGAGAAGATTAATCAATAAATTGCATAAAATAATACCTATAAAAATACTTACTAGCTATAAAAAATGTTTCAACATTTCGTCATCTGTCTTTTGTGCTCTGTAATTTTTTAACGACGTCACAGTATAAAATGAGGAGATTTGGGTATAATAACAAATGTAAGAAAACAGCCAGAACATCGACTTTATTCATTTATGCAGTGCAAACTTAGCTTTACAAATTAATGGCAAGCAATTAAGATAATTGTGAATTAGGTTCTAAGTATAAAGGTTCCTCTGAAATGGAGTTGTGCCAAATTTGGTTAAAATACACTGTGTCGCAAATTTTACGCAGAGCTGAAATATTCCCTAGCTTTGACTGTGGATATGTTCTCAGTCGGTTCTTGGACAAATTGCAAGTTATAAAATAAGCCAAGAAAAATTAAATAAACATATTGTACAGAGTTTTTCAATACTGCTTTCTTGGTCAAAGTTAGACGTTTAGAAGCAAAACTTTATCTCAATCTGTTGCTTGGCGTGGGCAATCCTTTTCTTTTTGAGAAGTTGCAAAAGTCAGATAAATCAGACTATGAAGGCTTTTACGGCCGGTCAAATCACATTTAGAAATGTTTCCCGGGCTTTGAAGCCATGATCCATGGAAATTTCTTCCTGACGTTTCGTCCACAACTGCGGTGGACATTATCAAAGGCGATGAGGCAGTGGGCGAAGTGATCTCCCGTGCTTTCCGACTAAGA